CCAATTTCACTCACAAGGTTTGAGTCAACCTGTGTTATGGTTTCCAGACACTTACCAAAAGGTGCTGCACACTGGGATCAACTCCTCCAGTCTGATAACATCAGGAAGGAGACTTCCTGACAAATCGACCATGGTGAGATTTTAATCCAGGTCTCATGATCAGAAGGCAAATGTTCTAACCACTTGGTCATGTGCCCATCATACATATTTTATATATATATATATATATATATATATATATATATATATATATATATACACACACTCATACACACAAGAGTAGTTGCTGAAGAGTTTACAGCCTGACCAAGCTCTTCTATACAAAAAAAAGAAATGGTTCAGATTTTGGGAAGTGGGTCAAGATAAAACTCTTCAACATCCTTTTGTAAATATCTCAAACTGTATTCTGCCAAATAAGATTATTCGCCTAATGTTTATAATCACCATTTTCCCAATAATAGCCAGCATCAAATTTCTTCCTTACAGACCCTGACACATCCATCTTGAAAGTAAACAAGTTCCTCTTATCTTATATATTATATTTATTTACCAACGCCTATCAGTTTGCAACTGCATCCACTTATAATTATTGTTTTTAGGGCTTTCTTCACATATTTATCACAAGATACATAAACAATGTCCCTCCCCATCCTGTCAGCTTTGTCCAATTATCACCATCATCGTTATTATCATCATCATTACTTTTGCCATACAGTTATCTCCAGACAAATATAAACAGTTTGCTGGGCAGTGATGCATTTATTTATGCATTAACATCACAAATAGAATTTTCAGTCTTCTTTCTCTCGCTCGAGCTCATATTCTGACCAATAACTTTTTGGTATCAACTAGATACTGTTTAGTACAATAGAATAGCAAATGGGTAATAAGAGATGAAAGAAAACAAGATTGTGTTGCGCCAATCACCTGAAAGGTGAGAGCTTGTTATTTGATATCCTATTTTATACATGGACTCAAACAATGACCTCATTTTAAGTAGTAATAATAATCTCAGCTGCAAAACGTTACATTATTATTCCTTACTCGCCTATGCCTAAAAAGGGGGTGCTAATAACTGGGCAGTGTAGAAATTTCCAATTTTGTTTTTTTTTTTCTTGCAATTTTTCAGTTGGTGGGATAATAACTAGGGGGTAAGGGCAGAAATTTGTTTTTTTTCTGTGTGTTGAGCAGAGTTTAATAATAAGGGTATTTAGAAATTTCATGCAATTTCTTAGTTGGGGGGTGTTAATAGCTGTGGTGGAGGGTATAAATTTTGTACAATTTCTTAGATGAGGGGGATTAACAACTGGAGGTGGAGATGTAGAAATTTCATGCAATTTCTTAGTTTGGTGGGGGGGTTAATAGCTGTGGTGGAGGGTATAAATTTTGTACAATTTCTTAAATGAGGGGGATTAACAACTGGAGGTGGAGATGTAGAAATTTCATGCAATTTCTTAGTTTGGGGGTGTTAATAGCTGTGGTGGAGGGTATAAATTTTGTACAATTTCTTAGATGAGGGGGATTAACAACTGGAGGTGGAGATGTAGAAATTTCATGCAATTTCTTAGTTTGGGGGGGTGTTAATAGCTGTGGTGGAGGGTATAAATTTTGTACAATTTCTTAGATGAGGGGGATTAACAACTGGAGGTGGAGATGTAGAAATTTCATGCAATTTCTTAGTTTGGGGGGGTTAATAGCTGTGGTGGAGGGTATAAATTTTGTACAATTTCTTAGATTAGGGGGGTTAAAAACTGTGGGTGTAGATGTAGAAATTTATTTTTTATTTTTTTTTTGCTGTGTAGGGAGCAGTGGTTAATAATAATTAGATTAGTGGGTGCTAATAGCTATCGGGTAAGGTATACATTTCATGCAATTTCTTAGCTTGGGGGAGGTACTGATATCTGCAGGGCATAGTAAAAATTTATTACAATTTCTTACTTTGGGTGTGAATAACTCCTCGGGAGGGTAAACATTTCTTAGCTTGCGGTGTGCTAATAGCTGTAGGGGAGGGTATAAATCTTGCAATTTCTTCATTTGTGGAGGGGGAGGTTATGGGGTGGGGAGGGTTAAGCACTGTGCTGTTGTAGGCATCTTTATACTTATAACCAGATTAACCTGGCACAAGGCCACAGTAACTGGGCTCCTTTTTATTCTTACTTCTCGTCATGATTATCTTGAGATACAAACAAACAGAGACATACATATTTTTTATTTACAGACCTGGTCAATCATTTATAGGAAACTGGCCTGGGAGATAGAGAAAGAAAGAGTGACCTGTGAGACTAAAATATAGAGAGAGAAGAACAGAGAGATGTGTGGAGAATTTGGAGGTAGGGTGATTGGGGAAAAAGAAAAATGACTGGGGGAAGGGGAGCAAGGAAATGAGGGAGTGGGGTAAATCAGAAGGAGTGGGTGAGGTCAGACTGGCTTAACACAAAGATATATTAAGAATAGCCTATTCTCAAACTGGCAATATATCTTTTTCCTTCTTCTTCTTGCTTGTCACTGTGGCCAGTTGGATGATGATGATAATGAGGATGATACTGAGCAAGAACTTATTATTGTTACCAGCAATAATAGCACTTTCTGCACCAGTCTCATATCATCATCTCTCTCCTTCCCTGCTACAACAACAACTTTCACTGCCTCCACCATACCATCTTCGGTACCTTCACTGCTGACACAGCGCCATAGTTTGTTGTTATTTTCCATGCAAGTTTCAAGAACTGAGCATGTGCAGGTGAGAGGAGGGAAAAAGGGGAAGTGGGGATGAGTGTGTTCTGCCATTGTTGTACTTTTTGCTTTTTATGTGTTTATTAATATTATTCACATGGTTGCTGTTGATATTGTTGAAGCTGTTCTTCATCTTCTAAAAGGCATCAATGACAACAGCTGTTTCTTAAAGATGTTACAACCGATAGGTTTCTTATTTTTTTTATATAAAAATTATTACCCTCTTGATTTGCTCACAACCTGATTATTATTATTATTATTATTATTATCATCAATGACTGGCTGTTCATTTCTGAGTATGTCCATGTGCTAAGGTGGCTAGCTAATCCCTGTTGCAGATGCCTGCTCAGTTACATTTGCATTTCTTCAATACCCACAGAACCAAACTGTGCTTTATACTGCAACTATGCTGAATGGACCTTAGCAAATTGTAACTGCAAATAGAATTAGAGGGTAAGGTTTAGGGTTCATTCAGTAAATGATTTGTATGTGTTTGAACCTTAAGAAAGGCTTCAAATAGGGGAAAAAAACAAGTTGAAAAGATTTTCAAAGAACACATGCTTACATATATAATAATAATAATAATAATAATAATAATAATGGCAACTCATTTGTAAGCACACCTGTCTACTCTAGCAGTTAGCCAGTCCCTGTTGCAGACTCCTGCTCAGGCACATTTGTGTTTGTTCAACACCCAGAGAGCCCACCTGTGGTTTATACTGCAACTATGCTGAATGGACTTTAGAATCTAGTAACTACAGTAAGAGGCTAAGGTTTAAGGCTCATTCAGTAAATGACTTATGTGCGTTTGAACCTTAAAAAAAGGTTTCAAGCAAAAAAAAAAAAAGTTGAAAAGATTTTCAAAGTACACACACATACATATATAAGAACAATGACAACTCATTTCTGAGTACACCCATCTACTAGACTGGTTTGACAATCCCTGTTGCAGACTTCTGCTCAGGCACAGTTGTGTTTGTTTAACACCCACAGAGCCCACCTGTGGTTTATACTGCAACTATGCTGAGCAGACCGTAGTTAGTGTTTCTGGGAGAGAGTGCATAATCTGATGTGATCAACAGTTTGAACAAGGCCAATATGCTCAGACCCTCAGTCACAATGACTTGTGACTTTGTGCTAACATAACTATTGACAGTTCCTAAATAGTACAGTCTACTTAATATCACTCCCAAGGTTTTGGTCAGCCTGTTGTATGGTATGGTTCCAAAAGGTGCTGTCCGCTGATAAAATCAAGAACATACTCACAAACACATATACATAATAACAAATAATGTCCAGCTATTACTGGATTCCAAGCACACCTGTCTGCCAGGACAGCTAGAAAATCCCTATTACAGATGCCCCCTCAACCCAGTGTCCACCTGTGGTTTATACTGCAGCTAGGCTGAGCAAACTTTAGTTACCGTTTACAGGAGAGAGCCTGTATGCTCAAAGACTCAGTCATAATGACATGTGACTTCTTGCTAGAATAACTGATGATAACTTTTCAATAATTCTGTTTACCCAATTTCACTCACATTGTTTAGGTCAACCAGTGCTGTGTTTATCTTGCACTTCCCAGCAGTGTTGCACAATGGGATGCCAATAAATAATATTTTAAGTTGCCTTTCTGACAAATTGACCATGAGATTTGAGCCCAGTTTTCATGATCGGTATGCACACAATCTACCCACTTGGCCACATTCTCATACATATATATATAATAATTGTTTCCAAGCACACCTGTCTGCCAGGACAGCTAGCAAATTCGTATTACAGATGCTCGCTCAACCTAGAAGCCACCTGTGGTTTATGCTGTAACTATGCTGAGCGGAACTTAGTTACAGATTCTGGGAGAATGCACATAAGCTGGTGTGATGAACAGTTTTTGAACAAAGTCTGTATGCTCAAACACTCAGTCATGATGACGTGACTTTTTGCTAAAATATTCAGTACTGAATTAAATACATTGGTAGGGAAGGAGTTTCTGTTGAAAAATAAGTATTTGTTGTGAAGAATAAATGCTTATCAAACATTAAGAGACAAACATCCTGATGGACCTATATAAATAGCTTAATAGATTTGATTGTTGATTGTCTACAGCTTATCAATTCTTACTAATTAACCCATAGCAGAGGGGAGAAGAGGTTGATTAATACCTTTCCCAAGGGTATTGGCGTGTAAGTGAACCCAAGTGAAATTTGAATTTGTCTCTCTGATTAACAATTCCAAGCCATTATCCATTACACCAACTACACATCCAAGTTTACAGAACCTGGTATTCCCAAATGGTCACCCATGTAGATACTGACCAGGCTCAATGTTGGTTAACTTTGGTGATCGTACAGGAACCAGTGTTAGATAGACACTCACATTAAGAGTATGAAAACAACAATTTCTTTTCCAGATGCTCAGTTCTGTTTTCAAAAAGAGACAGTGATATTATAATTCATACAAATAAAAATTTATTCTTTGTGCAAACTTTGAAGATGGAAGCAGATGATTCTATGTCTTCACAATTCCAGTATAAAAAAAAAACTCTCAAAATGGACAAATATCTGTAGGAGGAGCTGAAAAGTTCTTGATCCAACAAATATCCCCCTACCTGACCCAGTCATCATCATCATCTATGCAGCATGTCTCTTCTTCAAGATGTGGGTGGTCATGGCTCTCCATAATTTCCTGTGCTTTGTACCTTTTAATAAGGTTTGTCTTTTTATCTTTCCTAATCCCTGTATTGCCAACCATTTATATAAGTTTGTTATGTAGGTTATTCACTGCTATGTCCTGCGAGTATTAAATTCTCCAAGCTCTCTTTCCTCATTATGTGCTCTAAAAATTTCAAGTGTCTCTTTCCAGTGTTATGTATAAGTGTCTGTTTTGTTTCCATTTTCCTTAAAATTCTCTTGTCACTCATATGGTCTTCTTAGTATCCTTTTGTAGAACCAAATTTCTATTGCCTCAAGTCTCTTCTTCATCTACAAGGAGATTGTTCAGCATTCACTGCCATATCTAAATGGAACAAAGTTACGTAACAGTTTAGTGCTCTTTGTTTCTAATGAAATTTTCCTTTTTGTCTATATGTTGCTTAGTTTTTGGAAGGCATCTTGTGCTATTTAAATACACTTACAGATTTTGGTGTCACATTTCCATCCTCTGTTAAAACACTTACTAAAGATCTAAATTTTTGTACTTGTTTGACTTTGGTTTCCCCAAGTCCACATCTTGCTCTGTTCCTTTTGCCAATAACCTTACATTCCATCTTACAATTGATGTTTAGTCTTTTCTTCTCCCTTTCCTTTTACTTCCTTTTCTATGATTTTCTTTTAGTTTTCCTTCACAGTGTTGGTTGATTCATTTTCTATGGTTTATCAACACTTTTGTTGTAGCATACCTATGGATGATAATGGGTATGTCCCCATTCACATAAATACAGTAGTAAATACTGTATGTTGGTCTGCAGTTGGAGATTCATTGTGGAATTCACTTGACTCCCTTCTAGCAGTTGATGACTTCTACACACTGCTGGTGAATCTTATATGTGTTGTTCATGTCCTAAGTATTATCGTTCATTACCAACCTTCATATGATTATTCTATACAGTAACCTTCCCTAGGTTACAACACCTTTCCAGGTTATTTAAAGTCAGAAAATATTTTTAGATTGTAAGAATATTTTTTTAAAATAATAAATATTTTAGTGATACAAGTCTTACAAATTAACTTGTAGCTTTGTTATGTGGACTTATACCTTTCCGAAGGGTATTTGCGCATAAATAAATATGACAAACCAAACAGGAACTTGAACTCAGCTCTTCGATTAACAATTCTGGACCATTGTCCATTACACCACCTGCACATCCAAACAGCTGGTATTCTTAAACAGTTACCCATCTAGGTACTGACCAAGATTGATATTGCTTAACTTCAGTAAACAAAAAGGAACCTGTTTCCATATATTATCTGCATATCTATTGTTTTTAAGATTATGCCTGCTAATAATGAATCCTGAAAGGACTTCTAATTCTTTAAGGACTTTTTCACTATAAACGTTGAATAAATCCAGTATGTATTTATATGTGGGTGGTTTGCTCCCAGTATAGTTTCTGGATTATTCTAACATCTTTCCCAAATAAATCAAGTTTACTTTCAAGCAGTTCTTTGTGTTTATTAAACTTTATTAAATGAACCTAACCAAATAGTAAACTGAACACCTCATTTGCAATATGTGCAAAACTTGTTTTTTTTTTTTAGCACAGAGTCAGTGAAAACTATTAACAGAATATGAAATTAAAACCCTCAGTTGTTTTGCAAGTCACATTTAAGCATAAAATGTTTGAGAGAGACACAAACAGATTGGGATAAGTGGTAACAAAGACGCAGTCATCAATAATTCAGTCAATGCATGTGAATAGACTAGAAAAAGTGGTGATATTGAGGCTGACATAGATAATCTAGTCAATATTGAACAGATTAGGATAAGTAGTGATGACAAAGAGGCTCTCAGTTAATTTAGTCAGTATATATGAATATATCAGGATAAGTAGTGCTATATAGATAAAACATGCAATAGAGTTGAACAGATTCAGATAAATGTTTACAAAGAGACTGACATAGATCATTCAGTCAATAGATATGAATGGATTGGGATTAGTGATGGCAAATGGTCTCTCATAGTTAATTCAATCAATAGATTTGAACTAATTAGGATTAAGGTTGATAGAGGGATTGACATAGATGATTTAGTCAATAGATTTGAACAGATTATGATAAATGATGACAGAGGTTGACATAGATAATTTAGTCAATATATATGAATACATTGGGATAAATGGTGCTTAAGAGGATCTTAAAGATAATTTGGTCAATAGATTTGAACAGCTTGGGATAAGTGGTTCCAAAAAGACTAACATAATTCAGTCAACAGAGTTGAATGAATTAGGATGAAAGGTGATATAGAGGCTGATATAGATAATTCAGTCAATAGGTTTGAACAGATTAGGATAAGCAGTGCCAAATAGGCTGGCATATATAATTCCGTCAATAGATTTGACTGGATTGGTATAAGTGTTGCCAAAAAGACTCTCACAGATAGTTTAATAGAGTTGAGCAGATTGAGATAAAAGGTGACAAAGAGGCTGATATATAATCCAATCAATAGAGTTAAATAGATTAGGATTAGGGGTGATATAGATAATTCAGTCAATAGATTTAAACAGATTAGGATAAGCAGTGGTTAAAAGGCTGTAATATATAATACAATTAATAGATTTTTAACAGATTAGGATAAGGGTTGTCATCAATAATTTATTCAACACATAGGAATAGGCTGGGATAAGTCAATAGATTCAAATAGACTGTAATAGGTCATCAGATAGAAGCTGTCATTGATCATTTGGTCAAGAGATATTAACAAATTGGACTAAGTAGTGACTAACAGGCTGACATAGATTACTAAATCACTTGACATGACAAAAAAGACAATTCACTAAAAAATTTGCTGTCATGAGACCAATCATACTCATTAAAATAAGATTAAAAATTGATGACAACAATCAGTGATTCTGTAATGGTAACCTCAATACTTATATATAAAAAGGTGATGTTAATATTTCACAAGGCCAGATTAAAAGTAAGGGAAGGTGATGGAAAGATTATACAGCATTATCTTTTCAAATTGGAGAAATGTCTCCTTGACTCGAAGACCTGTACTTATTATCTGACTTTAAGCACCAAATACTCTCACCTGTGAGAAATAAACAATAATTGCAGGTATGAATCAGACTCTTATTTATTAAGTACAGCCTTGACAGTCTGTCAGTTAAGTGCCATACATGATACACACTTGAGTGATCATGACTCTTTTGATACATGGCTGACTTGGCAGAAATTTTTCCCTGCAGGAGGTTGCCATTTCTATCTGTGGTAGACTGGTTGCCAAACAAGACTAAAGAACACAATCTCTCCTACTATTCAACCCATAGCTGGGGATTGGAGAAGAGATGAATTCATACCTTTCCCAAGAGTATTTATGTGTAAGCGATTATAACAAACTCAACTGGAATTTGAACTCAGCTCTCCAATTTCTCATTCCAAGCCATTATCCATTAAATCACAGCACAGAGGTGATATTAGTGAGACACTGAGTAAAGATAATATAAGCAAAGAGAGAATGAAGGTAGGAAGATTATGAAGCACCAATCATATACACATAAAGAGTCTGAAGAATAGCCAAGAAATACAAAGTGGAAGTCCTTTATATCTCTGTTCAAACATAAGTGGAAAATCATTTTCAACAATTTACTATGGCTTGAGGTCAAATCAATTATAGGGAATTTTGGTATGAAGATTGTGTTGAACCAATCTTTTAAGGTGATCAAAACATACCTGGATTTTACCTGTGTTCAAACATTGGCACTGGTGGTTAATTAGGAAATTTTTCAGCCATGTGATAGGCCAATGAGCTTCTTTTTTTTTTAAGCATTATGCCCCAAGCAAGGCGGGAAGCCACTAGGATGCAGGGGTTGCAGAAGATTTGGAGCAAGAGCAGATAGGAGTGATAGAAGAAAGGAAGAGGAGAGGGATAGTGGATAGATCAAGGTAACTGGAGATGTCGATTGACATTACATTTGAATAATTGGAGATTATAGCCCTCAGGGAAACAGTAATTGGGAAGGGTGTTCCACAGGTGAGAGGTGTGAGGTATGAAGCTATTGGAGTAGAAGAGGCGTGTCTGTGAGAGAGTGATTGTAGACGAGATGCCAGATCAGGGCCAATTATATTACATATCCACCTCTGGATCTTGTCAAGAACTTCGAGGTAAACAGAAAGTGCCCCAGACCATATATGGCAGCAATACTCCATGCAAGGGCAAATGGTTGATTTGTATATTTGAAGTATTTTTACGGGAGAAAAAATTTCCTGGCATTGCACAGAGAGCCAACTTTCCTCATATACATTGGACAATAAGCAATTGGCCCAACGTATTTGTTCCATCTCAGGTCAGCAGTCAACGTGAGACCAAGCAGATGCAGGGAGTTGCTCTCAAGAAGTTGACTATCAACTAAGTTTTACTTAACTCACAACAAAGTTAAAAAGCAAAAGAAATAAGAATGACACTGTACTGCATCCATCTTTCAAATGGGGAGTGTCTGCATTGAACATAAGCATTTGAAATCCTGGCTTGTTGCAATTTGATATTTCCTTGTATTAGCTTCTTTTCTTTTTTTTTTTTTTTTAAGCAAGTTCACCCTAAGCAAGGGAGTAAAGCAACTGAGAAACAAAGGGTTACTGGGGTAGATGAATTAGAAAACAGAAACTTAGGAGCCGAAACAAAGGAGGAGTAATCAGGAGGACAGCAGA